TTCTCATGAACTAATTTCGTTTATATAAAAGTTATATTATGTGGCTTTTTTACTTGCTTTGAGGTTACGTAAATATTAACATGCCATTTGCTAAGTAGACACACCTGTTCTTGCACAGGCTTGGGAGAAAGTATATGGGGTGAACATTACCAATGCTGTCAATATGGTACAAACTTATTTATGAAAAAAAATATTAATAAAATGTCATTCCGAGTCAAGTCTGCTGCATCAGATGGTCAATTAGGTATCATATATTACACTGCAGAACAACATGCTGTCTCTTCTAAAGTTTGTGCTGACTAAAAGGCATTCTACTGGTGGTCTTTTATTTCTTTGTAGTTAAGGTAATAATGCCATTGTCGTATATCTATTATAGATGTAGTGTAATAAGTTGCTTGTTGCTTTGATAATTGTTTCAGATATGTTGAAAATTTGCTGCCGAAGTCTGGATACGACTTGTATTGCTCATCAATAAATTGCATCTCTAGATTATGCTGGTCCATTTTCTCTTAGAAGTGGGAGTTGTTTCCTGACTACAGATAACTATATATCAGTTATAGAATAAATAGAAAACTTATGTTTAGTAAAATTTACCCAAATCTATATGTCGTTTTCAATCTATAAGTTTAGTAAAAACATATAAGATTTACCCAAATCTATAAGTTATTTTTTTTATAACCTTTTTTATAAGTTTAGTAAAAAAAAAAAAAAAAAAAAAAGGTGGCTTCAACTAGATCATCATTTATTATGTCATGCTTTAAGGCTTTTGCCTTTTCAAAATTGGTGAGGAGAGTGCGTCACATATTTATTTAGTTCATTTTTACTCACAACAAAGTTTTTATATCATTATAAATACATGACTCCCCGGTTAGTTTCAAGTGTATCCACTGAAGATTCGGAGAAATGAGGTAAAAATTGAAATCTATTACTTACATGTTTGAATTAAGTATTGTTTCTTGCATTGTTTCATTTATCATCTGGGATTTTTTTGTTTTGCAGGTCTTGATAAATACAGATCACTGCTATTGTGTAATTCTAAATGCAGATGGTGGGGCAGCATTTCCTAGTGAAAAGACTGCACAAGATTGCAGTTCTAGTGATATTTCTTCTTTGAAAATCAACACTGGTTCTGGAAAGACAGAGAAGACAAAGGTTTGATGTATTCATTAGTTTATGCGAAGAATACTAGTATTTGTTTCATGATTTGCTTGAGTTTCTGATTAGTTTTTTTTTTTGGTTGTTGTTGTTTTTCTTCGTTATCCCTAATGTGAAATAATGTTCTTAATTATGAGCTGAATAATTGTACTGTGTTTCTATCCAGTTGCTCACCTAGGGATGTGCTATTGTTATCTTAAGAAATCATGACTATATGTCGTGCTAGACGAAGTATATTGTGACTATGTGCTATTTGTTGTTCTTCACACCATAGTTTGAGTAGCAGTTGTCTCCAACTATATCTATATATCTCAGGAGTGATAGTTTTGTTTGCTTTACATTCCTTAACTTATCCAGGGTTGAGCCTACAACTTGATCTTAGTATTTCTATTATTTATTGTGTATGTTTTTCAGTTGCCACTTTGCTATTGATGAACAATCACTAAACTAGTGTTTTAATTCTTAAAAATTGATGGGATTTTGCTTATATATTATATATAAGGGTCAAAATTTCATTTCAATACATTATTTTAGTTAGCTTGGAAATAGAAACATGAGGAAAGCATAAAAAAATGTTTGTAAACAAAAACCAAAACCTACCTTAATGGATAATTGAACATGGCTACACTAAACAAGGTTTACGAATTGCACACACACACACACACACACACACACACACACACACATATGTATAGATAAAAGAAGAAGAATAAACTGACAACAAGAGGGTGATGTGCACAGTCTTATGCGTAATTGTTCACGATCTAAAACTAAAGCAGATGAGAGAGGTTGAAGAATAAAAAACTAAAGCAGTTGCCTACTTGAATATAAAACTCAAGTAAAGCAAAGTGACTATTTCCATAGTCTGCTCTTGCCATAAGAATTATTGACACAACTTCAACAAGAAGGGACAACAAATATATATATATATATATATATTGTAAGCAAATAAATGTTTGTTCACGTTATTATGACTTTGACAATTCACATGGTGCTGTTGAATCTGTATCTGTTGGTGAAATCAGAGTCAGCTTACGGCAGTCATTGGTTAAACTTGGGGTTGGTTTTATTTCTAAGGACCTGAAACTGCAGGTGTTAATATGTGATTTAGAAGTTGTAATGAGACCTTCAGGTAAAAGCACACAAAAAAGTCAAAATATGCTGCTTGTCCTTTTCAAAGTTAGCTTTGTGGAATTTCTTGTTTTATATTGTTCAAATTCTTACTGCAACTGCATCCTTAAATCATTTGTGTAGCTTACAGTTTACAATTACAATGGAGGTCCATGTTATCGGTGCCTATTTCCAACTCCACCTCCTACGACAGCATGTCAAAGATGCTCTGATAGTGGTGTTCTGGGAATTGATGGGTTGGTTGGGAGGAGGAAGTATAAGGAGGCTGCGGAACTTGCTGCAGAGTCACCGCAGGGAATTCTGCGCACTTCTGACACTGTTGCTAAATTTCAGGTTTTATTAACATGATATCAGCCCTAACCATTTGTCTTCAGAAGGTGTAAATGTCAAGGCCCTCATTTACTCTTTATGCTTTGCAGAGTGTTCCAGTGCAAGCTGGGCAAACACCTCCTTTGCTGCAGTACTTTGGAACTCTTTTAACTAGGGGAAAGCTCAATGCTTTTGAGTCATTGGAACTATCTCGTCTTTTTGTAAATCAGAACAAAAAGAATCTTTTGGAGAATTGGTTGGCAGAGGACAAACTTGAATGTAGCGAGGAGCTTGGAGATCTTGTGAAGGTTTGATTTGGAGGATTCGAGGACACCCATGATGTTTATTGTGCTATAGTTCTTATACAAAACTTTTCTGTAATCCTTTATTTTTAATCTTTCTGTTTCAAATTTACTCATTGTTTAAACTATACTTACAAAAATTTACCTGAATTGAAAATAATTTCCCAAAGTTGCTTGTTCTATATTATTTATCAGATCTGTTCTATTGGAATTTCTGATGTAATGAATCCTGTTTCTATTGCAGACAATGGATAATGACCTTGCACTGAAAATTTACATTAAAGCAAGAGTGACTCCAAAAGTTGTTACTGCGTTTGCTGAGAAGAGGGAGTTTGACAAAATTCTCATACACTCAAAGCAGGTGACATGCTTATGCAATTACAATCATTCAAATATGTTCTGTTTTGTGGATTTGCAGAGTTCTTGCCCAAGTTGCATACTTTGGTTCTCACTAACAATCAACTAACGAATTTGGTTGAGATTGATCCTCTTGCATCACTCCCTAAGCTGCAGTTTCTTAGTCTTCTTGATATGGAAGCAGTGTCAGTATGTCATTTTCTTCACTGTCATCAATCTGATGTCATTTTCTTGCCTTATTTTGCAGACAATGGAAAGGGACAGATCTCAAGAGACTGGTATTTTTAAGAAGAAGCCAGCTGATTTGATGCAAATCTTCAAGGTAACTTGAGGTTAAAAAGTAAACACATCCTTGTTATTGAATGATGATAGAGTGTGTGAATAACTACTATTCGATGATCTAATGTTCGAATGATTAGTGGGCCAATAATAATATTCCATAATCTAATGTTAAAATGATTTCACAAAACATTGGAGAATTTTGGACATTCTCTTTCTGCCCTGCTGTACAATTTGTTGGGACTGGGAAGCGATGAACCTGCAATCAATAAGGTTTCCATAAACAGACCAACTCTGTTAGTGGTCATGATGTTTTTTAATTTCCCCCAGAAGATGCTTAGTTATGTGTTTGATATGCTATGTACATGATAATGAGCAGTGATATGTGGAATAGCGATATAGTACATGGGATGAAGAGTCTAACTATGCTGTGGATCTTGAAATTACCTTTCTCACTCAATAGTTCAAGAGTCCTATTATTAATATGTCAAATTGAACTGATTAAGAATTTTGTTCACTTTAAAAAAAGTATCCCCCAGTCCTTGCACCAATCTTATAAATCGAAGGGCACAATTCTGCTATTAGAGAGCTCATCAGTTATCTGAGTCAGTCATCTTTTCTCTGTGAAGTGACTGCATTGGCTCCCAATTGGGATTGCAAGGGGCACTGAAATGGGAATGATGTCCATTTGAAAAGATGAATGATCTGCCATATGACTTCTCTATGATTTTTGACAGGATGTACAATCTAAAGTAAGTGCTGTTGTACTTGGAAAGGAAAAACCAGTTGAAGAATCGAATCCTGAATATGAGAAACTGAAACATTATATCTTTGAGCTTGAAGATCACTTAGCTGAAGCTCAGAAGCATGCATATCGCCTAGTAAAGAGACACAGAGGTATTTAAGGACTTTATTTTTTTTGGTTCTGTGGTGTGCCAGTTTTTCAAACTTACTTTAAATCATATTTTGTGGATTATCTTCATTTATTCCGCTTTCTTCTTTGTTTGTTCTAATATTTGAATAAAATCAAATAAAATTCATTCATAATTTTTTATTGTGTTTCCACAGAATTGGGGCAATCCCTGTCAGATTTTGGGAAGGCAGTCAAACTTCTTGGCACTTGTGAAGGAGATGCTCTTGGAAAGGTATTCTCTGAGCTTGGGGCAAAATCAGAGATTTTGTCAATTAAGCTGCAGAAGGAGGTAAGCCTCATCAATGGATCATCCCTTGACATTAAATTGACATGCTGTTTGGAATTTTTCTTCTAACAGATTTGGATTTACATGTTGTTTTACCTAACTGATACTAAATTGACATGCTGTTTTGGAGTGTGGCCTTGAGGTTGGTGATATTGTTGTCTATTGCTGTGGATTGGCCTCGAGTTCTCTGGGCTTATAAGAAGGCTGCCCTGTTGCTGGGTGGGCTCTGAGTTATCACTTTTAGTTGCTGCTAAATGGAGCAAGGATCATGACATGGCAGCAGGTTCAATATTGCATTAGGAATGGGAGCTGAGCTATGCATATGTCAGTATGTTTAATTAGATGTATTCTTTATATGGAAGCAGTGTTCACTGGAATCTGTGTCAATGCCAGAGGTTTTGAATGGCAAAATAATGGTAAGATTATATATCTCATATCCTATTTCTTCCTCACATAAGTAGAGGATCATTTTGCTTTTGTTTTGCTATTTTATAACTGGCTGAAGCTGATATTTCTATAATACGCAGATTATTTCATCAGGACAGTTGGATGCCATTACAAGGGCACGCCCTATTCTCTCTGGTACAATCTACTTATGTCACTACTCTGCAACACTTGCATGAGGATTCAGTTTTTTGATCACTACTTTTAAATTTTCTATTTCATCTCTAAGACAAACTATTGTGTTTTTCAAACAGCTATGAGTGAGAAACTTTATGTTTTTGAGGGGGCACTTGGTGCTGGAAGGTGGGCTTTCTTCACAATCTTACCAATTTCTTTGTCATGTTTAGATTTTATAACAATTTGAATTGTGTTGTTGAGACAAATTTTCATATAAAATTGGTGACAATTAAATTTAGGGTAAAAGATGAAGACAAGAAGAGAGAGAGAGAGAGAGAGAGAGAGAGAGAGAGAGAAGAGAGAGAAATACAGGAAAAGGCTAATGAGAGACACCAACAGTAGGCACATGTTCTCTTCTTATACACACATATGTTTGCATTTTGTCTATCATCGATTGAACCAACCCAATTTGTATCACTAAATGCTTTCAATTTTAAGTGATCATGGTTAGAGCACAGGATCCATTTCACAAGAGCTGACTTGAGATACCTTTAAATGAACGATCAGGCACAGAAATTTTGGCATGATCAAGCAACTCAGATTATTATGTTCTTCCTCTTCCATGATTATGTCTTATGTTATTTTATTTTGCAGTATGTAACTCTAAATTAAGTTAATAAAGTTTGATTAAGTAGCATGTACTTGTTATTTTGAAATGATAGTTGAAATGGGAGAATAAATGGAGGGAGCAAAGTCATCATTGGAGCAACATTGCTAATATATAGCATTTTGTCTCTTTTTATTGCTAAATTATAACAATATTCAACATGTAGCTATTGAACCATTGGAGACTAGAAAATTCACAAGACAGCACTAGGAAACCATAGGAGATTTTTTTTACTTGACAGGAATACGAGAACTGATAGGCTGCTTCTTAGTAGTGATATGGCTTTGATAACATGTAAATATTGGAAACAAAAAGTGGAATTAAAATTTGGTTAAAAAAAAAACTAATGGCTTTGCGCAGAAAACAACACCTGACCTAATATTACACTAGTGATTGTGTAAACCAAGTCAAATCTAATTTACTATAAACTTACAACTAAATGATTCTTGAATATTCCAATACAAATTTAAGTAATTTCATATCTTTGAACAATGCTTTTCAAATGATAATTTAATTGTGTCTTGGTTGTGCCACTTGATAGTAAATTTGTTTGTGCTAGGTGTTTAACCCAATTTAACAGGGATTGGCACAGGGGAATGGCCCTTTTTCTTTGTTTATTTATGTTAGGTGTTCTAATATCATATTAGATGATGTTATTGTTAATGTCTACTTTTCTTTTTTAAATTGCAGCAAAATTAAAATGGTAATAGAGCTGCTTGAGGGCATTCATTTTGTTTCTTCTGTGGAGGCCATTTCTCTTGGTGCCCAAGCTGGTATTCATCCATGGATAATTTATTACATTATTTCTAATGCTGCTGGAAATTCATGGTAAATTATTGTTCACAATTCTTTACTGAGGACTATGTTGTGTGTTTAAAATTTAAATATTTCTAGTCCTGAAGCATTCCTTATAAGCATTCTGATCTGAAATTGCCAATTCTAGATCAGGCACAACCTTGATAGATGAGACTGCTAATAATCTGATTTGCACCATGGGCACCAGTTGAGACCATGGCACTGATTGGCACGTTCTGTTTCTGACAATGAACTGATTTTGTAGAACCCATGCCTTTAAAGAAATTAGCTGCAAAATTTATTGAACACTGAAAGCCCTTCTTGTTATGTGCTTACATGTATACACATACATGGGAACATCTGTTTACTTTCAAAGATCTGTGCATTTTTATACTAACTCAATAGGTATTCAAGGTTTTGGTGGTTGGTGTTGGTATATGTAAATGCCGTAGTTAGTTTTTTTTTTCATGACATTCCTGGAATTTGCTAGTGTTTTCTTAAGCAGATACTGTGTTACCTTGCTACTAGACATCCTTCCGTTGGATTCAATTTTACAGGGTTTTCAAGAATCATGTTCCCCAGTTGCTAAGGGATAATCAAACCAAACATCTCCTGAATACTTTTGTTCAAAATTTGGTAAGTCTTCTCATGTTGTAAGTTTCTTAGTGTTGTTCAAGTGTATTATGAGTAATTTCTTTTCTTCTTGACTTTGAAGTTAAGTTCAATGGGGGTTTTGGGTGAATTAAATGCTAACTGCAGTTTTATAATTCCATTCAAATTATGCTTCCTTTCTTGTGGTGGATTTGGCATTTAGGACATTTACTTGAGGACCATCTGCTAAATGCATACTAAAATTTTAGACTTGAACACCACTCGGTAATCATTTCTTCATCAATGAATTTGGACACATTGAGACTTTCAATAATGATTTTTAAAAGCTCTACAACATAAGAAAACAGATTTAAGTTCTGAGGTCTAATTTTGTAGAAAAATCTTACGTAAATGTCTCAGGAGCTAAAGCTGCCTTCCTATTATTTAACTCTCATGCCTCAAAACTGTTTCCAGTGTTGAGTTCGTCTTGCTTGACCACGTTGCTAGTAACAAATTTTTCCATCTTGTTCTCACAATTGATTTTCAGTGTAATATAGTTGAAATCTCAGTTCTTTCATTGAAAACATAAGCCCCAATTATTCACATGAATGTGTGACATTGTGATGCAGAAGCAGTAAGTAGAAGAGGACCAATCCCAAGCAAATAATGTCAAGTTTGTCTAGTTAGTATGAAGTTTGTTTATTTATGAGTCTTCATTTTATTCTTGATTAGAATTTGTTAGTCCCCTATTAGGAGCTTCAGAATGTTCTGGATGTATTTTATTTTTAGGGATTTCTTTGCTATAGTTTGTGTGTTGGTTAGTAGACTTCTCTTGGGCTATAATCCAGCCAATTACTTGTTTAGAATTACTTATTTTGGTAGATTTTGAATATTTTACAGTCTCTAAATGGGGTAATTTTTAGAAAGTTTATTTCTCATTATGGTTTACTAGTGTCCACATAGAGAGGCCCCTGCTTGATTATGAATTTAGAGTTGGAATTAAAGAGCCAGTGTGGAAATTCCCTGTTGACTTGTGTGTGTATCTCAAGCCACCCTTGTGGAGTAGGCTACTCCTTTCATGCTTTTGTTTTCCTATTTGCTGAATTTATGTCTAATTCAAATCTGTCTAACAAGTAACCAGACCTTAATGCAAGAAGCACTAACACTTCTACTCATGTGACACTTTTACTCATCACACTGCCGAGTTGAAATGGTTTTCTGAACTGGTGATGATCTGTGTTGAATCAGTTTGCTGATCTGCTATTCTTTTGGTTCTGCTGTGATGTTGCTGCTGTTGCTGAGATGCTGTGGTGATGCTGCTGTGATGGTGTTTGTTACGATAAGGTGCTGCTGTGTTGTTGTTGGATGTTTGCTGGTGTTGCTGGTGTTGCTGGTGTTTGGAAGGGTGCATGGCTTTTTGTCCAATCTGTAATAGATCAGGTTTTCATTAATGGGGGTTGTCATTAGGTGTAAGTTCGGGCAAATGTGTTTTGGCTAGAAGGGTATGGAGGGGGTATTTTGTGTGATTTCATATCCATGTTATTAGTTTGTTATAGTGGTGCCTGAGGGATGCCTCTTGTAAATCTGTAAATTTTTTAAAAAATTATAAATGAGTTTCAATTATTTTTGCCGTTGCAAATTTGTCGTTGTTAAAAAGTGAAGCTTTCTCGACAAATAATTAGTCGGTAAATGTGTAGCTAAAAGTTTATTTTTGCCAACTCATATTGTGTTGCTAAAAGTGTATTTTTTGCCAATGTCAATTTGTCGTTGCCAAAACTAAAGCTTTATCGACAACCAAATCATTGGCAAATGGCAACATTTACCGATGTAAATGTGTCGCTAAAAGTTATTTTTCCCCACTCATATTGTGTTGGTAGAAGTGTATTTTTTGCCAATGCCAATTTGTCGTTGCCAAAAGTAAAGCTTTAGCGGCAAACAAATCGTCGGCAAATGGCAACATTTGCCGACGTAAAAGTGTCGCCAAAAGTTTACTTTTGCTAACGCATATGTTGTTGCTAAAAGTATATTTTTTGCCCATGCAAATTTGTGTCACGAAAAGTGCCACACAATCATCCTATTTGAATGACTTTTACCAACGCAAGGTAAATTGCCGACGATGGATGGAGGCTTTTAGCGACGACTATGTTCGTCGCTAAAGGCATTACTTTTACCAACGCAATCATAATTTCGTCGGCAAAAACTTTTGCCAACTCACTTTTGCCTACGGGTTGCCAACGTAGCTTTGTGTGTCGGCAAAACTCTTTGCCAACGAATTTTCCCTTTTAGCAACATATTTTGTTGCGTTGTGAAAAATGCAATTTCTTGTAGTGGTGGTTGAGTAAAAGCCATGGAATATTTTTGAAAATTTAATAATACCATTGTATAGCATACTTTTTATAACTATAGCGATCCCGGGTTTACCCTTGTTGTACTGTGATCCGGACATGTGTCCGTGGATGTTGGTAGTTGTTTATTATCTTGTTTGCATCCTTTTTACTTCGTATTTGAGTTATAGGATGTGTTGGGCAGGTTTGTTACAGGTTGGTTGAGTTTAGAAACCAAAACTAGTTGCCCAGATTTTGACCTGTCCGCTCGAGCGGGGGTGTTGGCGCTCGAGCGGGAATTGCACCCATCCAGTATTTTCTGTGCAGTGTTGGACGCTCGAGCGTGGTATTGGCCGCTCGAGCGGGGTTGTGTGAGTGCCGCTCGAGCGGGGAGTTGGAAGCTTGAGCGGAGACCTGGTTTTGTAAAAGTTCTGGGAGTGGGTATCTGCTGCTCGAGCGGGATTGTTGGCGCTCGAGCGGGAGTCTGTGAGTGACGCTCGAGCGGGGTGTTTGACGCTCGAGCGGGTCGAATGGGTTTAAGTTTCGTGTTTTGACTTTTCAAATCACTTTTTCACTTTCCCTTCTCTCTCCTACTTTTCCAAAAACACCATTGTTGAGCCTCTCACTCTAGAATTCTACCTTCTCTCTAGGTTTTGATCTAGTAGGAGTGATTTGCTCATCTTTGGCCTTTACAAAAAAGTTGTTGATCGTCGAGGGCTACATTTTAATCTGAAAATTTCGAGATTTGGAGCACGTTGGGTTTTGTCTTCTTCTCCCTTGGAGCTCCGAATTTGAGGTAGGGATAACCTACTCCTCTCTATGGGTTTTGTCTTTAAATTTTGGTATTTGGAGATGTTGGGGTTGGTTTGGTAATCTTGTGAAGATTTGGGGCTTTTGTGTTATTTTACAAAAAAAAGGGTTTTAGCTATATAAAACCTAGGTGTATGTTTGGCATAGAAAAGTGAAATTAATGTTAAAACATTAATGAAAATAGAACCTATATAGCGATCCCGGATTTACCCTTGTTGTATAGTGATCCG